AATTCAATGAATTTTTTGAACTTGTTATTTTGTCATATTGTCTCACAATTTAGTTAAACTATTAGCTAAATAGGGTGAATGTGAGCCATCTTCCAAGTGCAGTTTCTTTACCTTAAGAATTATGTATACTCGAAAAGAACCTGAACAAATTTTACAAAATAAAGAATTTGTAAAATGGTTTCATCGTTAATAATAGTAATAAAGATCCTCAATAATTTAGCGAATAATTTTAATGAGAGAAGCAAGGAACGTGGCCCTGGATTCTGAAAATAGAGAAGTAAATAAATTTGTCTACGACACCCAATGATTCGTGTTTGATCAATTCTGGTGCACCTAATGCTGTGTAAACGATCTATCAGATTCGACCTCGCACAATGTGTGAGTAGTTATTTACATCGATTCCATTTCCATGACGTTAACTGCACGCCAGGTTTTCTTGGCTCGATTATCATGGAACGGGCAAATGAAATTATTAATCACACCAAGTAATCCATTCGACACGACGTTTTTCCCTCTCACGCTTTTACCTGTGTACATATACGAGCAGGTATAGTTACTTCGCCACGATATTACCGATACGTGTTGTGTGTCTTAACCGTGTTGATTTAGCGTTACGGAAAAGCAGTTTCTGTTTCCGTATGTTAATTGCTCCGATGATAAATTTCATCGCGATTTTATTTATAGCGTTTGTGTACCGAGCTCGTTACTGTGTGCAGATTAGTCTCCGCGCTCTTTGGTTAATGATTCAATGAAGCTTGTCCACCTTATGAGATGTTAATTGCTCGTAAATTATATATTTAATTTAATTTGTTGATGTTTGAATTTTAGTGTGCTTTGGTCGTTGAAGGTAGGTGATGATTGTGGAGTTGGGGTACAGTGGTGAGAACTGGGAGATTTCTAGGGAAAGTGCCAATCTAGGGGAGTTTAAATTTAGGGTGAAATTGAGAATTTGAGGATTTAGGGATTTGGGGATTAGGAGATTTTGAGATTTGGGAAATTTGGGAATTTGGGGATTTGGGGAATTTTGGGGATTTGGGGATTTGGGGATTTGGGGATTTGGAGATTTGGGGAATTTTGGGATTTAGGGGCTTGGAGATTAGGAAATTGGGGGATTTGGGAATTTGGGAATTTAGGAATTTGGGTATTTGGAAATTTGGGAACTAGGGAATTTGGGAACTAAGGAATTTGGGAACTAGGAAATTTTGGAACAAGGGAATTCGGGAACTAGGGAGTTTGGGAACTAGGGAATTTGGAAACTAGAGAGTTTGGGAATTAGGGAGTTTGGGAACTAAGGAGTTTGGGAACTAGGGAGTTTGGGAACTAGGGAGTTTGGGAACTAGGAAATTTGGAAACTAGGAAATTTGGTAACTTGAGAGTTTGGGAACTAGGGAGTTTGGAGATTTGGAAATTTCGAAAACTCGAAAATTTGAAACCTTGAGTCCTAAAAACCCTAAAAGCTTGAAAACCAAAAATTCCAAACTTGAACAACCCAAAAATTTGAAAACCTCCATCTTCAATAACATTAAAAATTGTCTCCTGAATCGTAAACGATGAAACAACTCGGTCATATCATCCTCCTGTCGCTCAAAGAAGGCATAAAATTTTAACAGCAAAATAAAACAGCCTTTTTATTGTAACATTACGTGCATTTAGCATTAAGCGGCGGCCATTTGTCGGACGATTGAAATCAATTATCGAAATGATGTTACAAGTCGTAATAATAAAGAGCAATTAACAGCGAACGTCGCAGGAAAAAATGAATGTTAACAAACCAAAAACGTTTGTCGCTCATGGTAATTACGAAGTCACTTTCAACTTGCGCTTGTACGCGTGTCAAATGCGATAGCGATGTAAAATTAATAAAGTATTACATTATCGTCGAAATATCATTATACATGAGTATACTCTGTCATTCGTGGTCAGTCATTGTTTCTTTATCGGCTTTATCTTTCGAGTGTTATTAATTATACTTCTATTACCAATCGTTATCTGACTTTTCGATTTTCATTTGTAACCTTGTTACTACTTGCATTTTTTTGTTACTTCTTGTTTATGTAACGTATGCACTATTTAATTTTCGTATATTGCTGTCTCGAATGTTTAGGGAAATTACTGCTCTGTATTTAATGCTGTAGATATCGTTTAACTGTTTGTGTAATTTAGTTTAAAGACTTAATTTCATTTCTTTTGTAATTTTGTATATTTTCTAGTTTTTATATTTTTTGTATTTTCATGTATTTTTTCGTTCTCATATTTCTACATTTTCTGTATGTTTTATATTTTTTGCGCTTTTTATATTTTTTATAATTTTCATATCTTTTTCTATTATGTATTTTTTATATAATTTTTATTCTACACTTTTGTACATTTTTTGTATATTTTTTACATCTTGTGCATACTTCATATTCTTCATAGTTTTATATTTTTTATATATTTTATATTCATCACATTTTTAATATATATTTCATGTACTTTACATTCTTCATATTTTACAAATTTCATCAAGTTTACACTTTACACATTTATATCTTGTTGCAATCAATATGACAAATGTAATATCTCACAATTTTTCTAGTAAAAGGCTAGGGTTATATAAAGAGCTCACTTCTAAGCGAATAGTTCAAGTTGCACTAAATTATCACAATACATTGTTGTTATATTCCAACCGTGTTATCATCGTTATTGGATTTCAAAAATATACGCATACGCATTGGGCAAAGTTTAACGAAGTCCGTCCACTATAAACAAAATACAGAGTCATAAATAAGTTAGAGAGTTCAATGTTTCTCACCGTCAGTAAAAATTAATCAACTCATTACACAACATTTCAAACTAACTTGCAACATAAAGAAAGTCACCATTTACATTTTTAAACATTAATTGTATTTAACAGACCTAAACTTGGACATATATTTCAATTTCTTGACTAAATATACTCAAGAACTATTTTATATTGCTGCAATATAATTTAACATATCTTGAATACATATAATATAAATACATGTTCATATATATGTTAAGTAAGGTTATGTATGTACACATAACTTTAACTATATACATACATAACCTTAAATTAAATATATACATACATAACCTTAAATATATAAACCAACAATGTACACTAATATAACCTAATCCTATTATAGATCCTTTCCATGAACCCCAAAAACTTAATTATTACCCAAAATCACGAAAGACCAAACGCCTTCTCCATCGCAGAAACGCGCGGGAAATTCAAACGCGCCACCGGCGGCGCTGCAGTCGCAAAGCAACAAAAGTGCGTGAGAGATTATTGCGCACAGGAAGTGGGTCATAGAGCTGGAAGCATCGATGTCGAAAAGAATCGAGGACGAAATGGGTCAGCGCCGGAAACGATGTCGAAACGGATCGCTCGTCTAGCCGCGCTTTCTTCATGACCTTCCTCCTAGTCTATAAATAAGCGTGCGTGTAGAAGTGTAGCCATGTGTACGGGTTAGAAAGACACGGTGCGTGCGAGCTTACGAGCGCGTATCGTTTGTGCAACAATTGTCCCGAGCGGAATATAGGTCGGCGCCAAACAGTAGTCTAGGTACTTTCGACTCGATTGCGCCGCACTCTCAAATCTTTGCCCAGCGAGCCAAAATTTGAACGCTCTTTCGACATTTCTTCTAACGCTTGCTTCGCGGAATTTATTTGTGACGGAATCTTACTGGCGTTTTAACGGTGCTTTTAAAGGTTTATAGACTTTTGTTATCACTTGATTTATCTTTTATTTTGCTGAACTTTGTTTCTGTTCATTTTATTAATTTAGGTTTGAATAAATTTATTAATTTAAGTTCAGATTGTTGCATTAATTTAGGATTTTATTGTATTGTTCCATTGATTTAATTTTCAATTTATTGTTAATGTTATATATACACATTAAGTCATCAATGTCATGTTCTATTAATTTACTTATTTATTCTCTGAATAATTTATATTTGAATTTATCACTGCAATGTGAAGTATAAAAATTTTTGTAACACTAAGTATAATGTTAGTGCAATATTATTTCTAAATTCACAAAAAATAAAAATGAGAATATAAATAATATTTTGTCTAACAACAAATACTTTCATTCCTCAGAAAAAATCTTGAATCACCCTATAGATGGTACCAAAAATGGCGATTTTCTGAAACTGTTCTCTGACCGCCTACTTTGAATCACCCTTATATATATAATACATAATAATACATATAATTTCGTTATTAGATCGTGGGCAAAGTAATATAGTTTATGTCCTTATTTGCAAGGAATAACGTTACACAACATGGACGATATTATTAGTGACCCGTCCGGATGATTGCTCGGCAGCTGCCTCTGCCAAACGGTCAAACGGTCTAGGCGCTTTCTTCCCGACCTTCCTCGTCTATAAATATACTTACGTATGCGACTGCGTTTATGCAATTGTCTGTTGTAAAATAGGTCAAGCAATCGTGGATAAGGCTACTTTATTTTATCGCCCAATGCCATTTAACTATCCTCCGATTTTTCTTCCTGTTTACAGAATGAATCGGCTCGGCCAAATGTCAACAGATTATTTTCCCCTCGATTACCTTACTGCCAGTGTATGCGCATCGAGCTCTAATTCTGCTTTATTCTAGATTACTTTATCCGTAAGAGAGAACTCTTATCGCTGGAAGAATTTAATGTTTAAGATAAGTGTTTAAATGAGAAGGTTGAAATTTTTAGGTTAGCGCGGGAAATTTGAACGCGCGGAAAGCATGTGCGACGAAAGCGCGATGAAAACAAATACTCCAGGTGAAGTGGAGATTGGAGTGGAAAGAAAAGATGTGTACACGGTGTTCGAAAAGAACAATATAATTCAAGTTACATAGAATATAGAAGAAAACAGAGTGAAAGATTAAAAAGTTCTTAACAAACATAGAAAGGTTCTCAGATAAAAACATTGACCATTTCTTTAAAAAAATTTCTCAAGGTTTCTTAATATTTTTTAATATGTAAAAAAGGTATTCTTCGCAACAGAATTTTCTCGAAAATTCCCTGACATGTTACATAATTCTCTCAAGTTATTGGTGAATGCAATCGGTAAATGCAAGGTCCCGAATTCGGAATCGAAGCACAGTTTACGAGTATCCACAGTGGAAATATACTTTGTGTATATGTATCAATGGTGAGCCGAAAATAGGTCAAAGGCCAGTGACGTCGCCAAGAAAAATTCGGGTCACCAGAGGCTTTCTTCACGGCCTTCCACCTTCCTTGACTCCTTGCTTCTAGTTCGTTTTCGGCTACTCGCCTATATATACAGGGTGGCCACTAAACATCGAACATGTAAATACTTTTTCAGATACAACATTACTTTATGTAACAACATGACTTTATATCCAAAATAATATAACTTTACTATAATTACATATTCTATGTTACAAACTTGCTTATATACTGGATGGTCATTAAAAAAAATAATTTTTTAATGCCACATAAATATATTTTGACTTTATTTACAGTGAAACTGTTTCAAAAAATTCATCCTCTAAAAAAGTATAAATTTCTTATACTTTTGACGTGTACGAATTTTATAAAATTAAAAGATCTTAAAATTAAATTTCATCAAATAAATTACTAATAAATTACTTCAATGAAGTTATACATAGTACAATAGAAATTAAATTTCATAACAAAATGGAGTACCATGGAATTATTGTTACAACCTCACACTGAAGTTGAACTAATAAATTTAAAACGAATGACTAATAAATTACTTCAATGAAGTTATACATAGTACAATTAAAATTAAATTTCATAACAAAATGGAGTACGATGGAATTATTGTTGCAATCTCACACAGAAGTTGAACTAATAAATTTAAAACGAAGTTAGACTTCAGCGTTACACTCAATTACATAAGTTAGCATAACTTCCATTCTCTATAACACATTGTGTAGTTTTACCCATCTCATGATGGATCACATACCTTCATTGTTCCTAAATCATTAAAATTGAAGCTTGATGATGCTGAATTATGTCCGCGGTATTTATAGTACATACACGGTTACGTGTGCAATTTCTCCCAAGAATCTATTTCATATTCTACTGAATCAGCGGTTCTTCGGATTTAGTTGGTCGTCGTTTTATATCTTAACCTAGCGCAACGCTATTTCGCAGTTCGCTTTTTTGCCTTCTTTTTATCACTCTGTTAAATAAGTTTAAGGAAAATTCGATGCTATGTGTAAATATAAATATTTATGCAAGATTTGTTACATGTGTAGGGGAAAAAGTTCGATATCGCTAGTGGGAGAAATAAAAGTGATAGATAAGAAAGTAGGAAGACATTTTGTGCGCCATCGTGGCAGACATTTTAACGTTTTTAAAAGCGTAGAAAGTAAACAATTTTTATGTACATTTTGTACAAAATCAAATTACTCAAATATGTAGATTATGAATTTTTGAATTTGTTAATTTATAAAACTACATATTCGTGTTTAAAAATTTGAAAATTTTCAAATGTAAAATCTTTTCAAAATTGAAGTCGAAAATTTACAAACTTATAAATTTACAAATGGAGAATTTTTTAATACATGAATTGTTGAACTTAAAAATTGATTCAACTTGAAAAATTGATAACAAAAAATATTTATAATTTGACTTAAAATTTTTATAAAGAAGTTATGCTATTTAAAAAAATAAAAATATGAGTCTATACATGATAAATGTATACAACTACAAAAATATTAAAAAGTATGTCTACAACAATTGGAAAGTGCGCCAATGATATTAGAACGTGAATGCAGAGCAAAGTGTATAAATATTTTCACGAGACAAGTGTAACGTGGCATAGATGGTAACCTTTATTGTATTTTTCTGGCGATGATGATTGGATACAAACAGACCAGATAAGGATTCGATGTATCGCGAGATAAATTCGATCACCAGCATCGTACATGGTCACAGTCGCACATGACATTTCACGATTTGAAAGTACATATAACTTGGAAAGAAATCGTTCATGAAACCTATAACGTTACAACAAATTCACAGATTTTAATTTGCGGATGGTCTATTTAACCTTTTTCTTGACATTTCTGAGGTAGCAGTTCTCAGGATTCTGTAACTGCACTAACAGTTAATCTGCTGGTCATCGTGTATCTAGTTTTATGGTAGTGATATTCAGGTTAGGTTAGGTTGATATTCAGATAGGTAGGTTTGAGGATGCGAAACTTTCTTTTTGTTACTTGCATTGTTAGGGTCCGTACAATTTTTAGTATGGTATGTATATTTTTTGGGTTTGCAATTTTTAATTTTGTCAAGGGTACTTTTCTCAAGATTCAAATTGGCAAATTTCTCAAGTTTGCAAAATTCCCAATTTTTCAAATTTCAAGCACTCTAATTCCCAAATACCCAATTCCTAAACCTTCAAATCCCAACTCCCCAGTTCCCACTCTCCCAATTCCCAAGTCCTCATATCCCAAATCCCTAATTTCCAACTCCCCAAATTCCAACTCTCCAATTCCCAAATCCTCAATTTCCAAGTCCCCAAATTCCCACAACTCCAAAATTTCCACGTCCCCAAATCCCAAATCCTCGATTCTCAAGTCCCCAAATTCCAACTCTCCAATTCCCAAATCCCCAATTTCCAAGTCCCCAAATTCCAACATCTTCCAATTCCATATCCCCAAATTCTCACAACTCCAAATTTCCACGTCCCGAAATTCCCACGTCCCCAATTTCCAAATCCCCAATTCCCAAGTCCCTAAATTCCAACTCTCCAATTCCCAAATTCCCAATTTCCAACTCCCCAAATTCCCATATTCTCCAACTCCCATATCCCCAAATTCCCACATCACCAAATTTCCACGTCCCCAAATTCCCACGTCCCCAATTCCCAAATCCCCGATTCCCAAGTCCCCAAATTCCAACTCTCCAATTCCCAAATCCCCAATTTCCAAGCCCCCAAATTCCAACATCCTCCAATTCCACATCCCCAATTTCCAAGCCCCCAAATTCCAACATCCTCCAATTCCACATCCCAAATTTCCACAACTCCAAATTTCCACGTCCCCAAATTCCCACGTCCCTAATTCCCAAATCCCCGACTCCCAAGTCCCCAATTCCCAAATCTCCAAATCCCAAATCTCCGAATTCCCAAGTCCCTAATTCCCAAGCCCCCATATCCCAAATCCCCAAATGGCCAAATCTCCGAATTCCCAAATCCCCAATTCCCAAGCCCCCATATCTCAAATCCCCAATTTCCAAACTCTCCAATCCCCAAAACCCCAATCCCTAAATCCCCAAATCGCCACACCTCCACTCACACACATCTCCACTTCCCCAAATCTGTCCCCTCCCACACAAATCCATCACCCACTCCAATCCCACTTCCACTCCAAAAACCAACTCTCATAACTATCCAGACCCACACAATTCCCAATCATCCAAACATCAATAATAAACATAACGTTCGGAGAGATGATTGCATCAGCTTGCATATTTCTAACGTATCGGCGACACAGTTAGTTAGTTCTTACGAAACAGGGGTGTAGAAGGGGAGGGGTAGTAAATGTTCATAAATTCGTGTGACACCGGCGCGGTAACTGGTCGCGCGACCGTCAACAGAAAAATGATCGTTTCTCGCGAATCTAGCTACTCAATGTGCGTATTCTCTTTCTTTTTCTCGAAGGAAAATCGACGGCACAATTTTCGACTCGTTCGGTAAAACAAGGTTAATTCAGTCCGTCGGTTCGTGGCGCTACTTGCGATACCGCCCAGCGAATGACGCATTTAGAAACGATGCTCTCGTTTCGAGACTAAGTAGAGTTAAGGTCGACTTCGATCGTGATTCGTTACGAAAAAACATGCTGTTCGAGTGCATGTACCACTTTCGGCAAGCGTTCTAACCTTGCACTTAGATTTTGCGGCGATTTTTGTTTGTTTTGATATGGCGGTGCGGAGGTTGCGCCATCTGCGTACACCTACGCAACCCTTGCTCGGTTTGGGATTTATATCAATAATATTTGTGGTGTAATTGGATTATGTGGATGCTTTAATGGTGGATGGTTGAGTGTGAGCTGTGAGAAGAATAGAAGGTTAACTTGTTCTGACATATTGGGTTTTTGGAAGGAAAATGGCGATTCGAAAGGAGTTGCACTATTATTACAGTACTGCTATTACACTATTTGTGTAATATGTAGCTTGTGCAGATTGGAAGAACAACTATAGAAGTTTTGAAATTTGTTTGTTTGTAAATTTCTAAATTCTTAAACTTCTGAATTTCTAAATTCCTAAATTCCCAAACTTCTAAATTTCCAAGAAATTCCTTATTCCTTATTCCTTAACTTTACATTCCTCAACTTCTGAATGCTTCTACCATCAAACCCCTAAAATCTCAAACCCCAAAAGTCCCCAAAATCCTCAAATTTCCAAATCCCAAAATTCTCATAAAATTCCTCTTTAAATTCCTCCACCAAAACCTCAAAAAATCCTCAATTTCCAAACATTAAAATCCCAAAAGATTATCCAAAGATCCCCACACCAATATTCTCCCGCTAGCGTCCCGAAAGTCTCTTTTCCAGTCAAAGAGGAAGTTATCATCCGCGGAAGCACACATTTACCAAACAAAGATTCCCCCTTCTCGGCCATCCGGCTGGGTCTCGCTAATGGTAGCTGTTCTGCGGCCCAAGGAATGTTTGGTTACTTTACTTTCATTTTCATTTGGTCGGCGTCCGAGGCACGCTGGCGGTCGGGCAAAATTACGTAAGCAGGGAACGCGGGCTGCCGCAGTGTTGCTCGACCCGAGCCATGTCAAAATAATAGCGGTCATTCTTATTATGTATCTGCCACCGGCTGTTGCCGTCCTCTATCGAGAGCATCGCCATACTTGCCAAGAAAAACTCGCCGAAATCGCCCATCAAATATTCGCAAACGTTCACAATGCTTGGTGGGTTATTCGGTTGCGGCGATATAGGGAGCGCGTCCTAGTTATGGAGGATTGGAATACGGTGACTCTTATTGTTATAGTACTCGGACACTATAGCTTCTAACAATTATTAGACTCACACAACAATTATTAGACATAGTCGAGTTAAGATTATTATTTACTTTAGAAATATATGATAGAAATTTAGGAGTGTAGAAGTTTGCAAATTTTTAAACTTGTGCACTTCTAAATTTTCAAATGATCAAACTTGCAAATTTTTTAATTTTGAAATTTCTTAAGTCCCTAAACCCCAGCTCTTCAAATTCCTATATTTCTAAATTTCTATCACTAAATCTCTATATCCCTAAATTCCTATTTTCTCGAAACTCGACATCCCCAGATTTCGGTGACTTTAGATCTCTACATCCCCCAATTCCCACATTCCCAAATCCATAAATCTCTAAATCCATAAATCTCCAAATTCCCAAATCCCTAAATACCAAAATCCCAAAATTCCAAAATTCCAAAATTCCAAAATTCCAAAATTCCAAAATTCCAAAATTCCAAAATTCCAAAATTCCAAAATTCCAAAATTCCAAAATTCCAAAATTCCAAAATTCCAAAATTCCAAAATTCCAAAATTCCAAAATTCCAAAATTCCAAAATTCCAAAATTCCAAAATTCCAAAATTCCAAAATTCCAAAATTCCAAAATTCCAAAATTCCAAAATTCCAAAATTCCAAAATTCCAAAATTCCAAAATTCCAAAATTCCAAAATTCCAAAATTCCAAAATTCCAAAATTCCAAAATTCCAAAATTCCAAAATTCCAAAATTCCAAAATTCCAAAATTCCAAAATTCCAAAATTCCAAAATTCCAAAATTCCAAAATTCCAAAATTCCAAAATTCCAAAATTCCAAAATTCCAAAATTCCAAAATTCCAAAATTCCAAAATTCCAAAATTCCAAAATTCCAAAATTCCAAAATTCCAAAATTCCAAAATTCCAAAATTCCAAAATTCCAAAATTCCAAAATTCCAAAATTCCAAAATTCCAAAATTCCAAAATTCCAAAATTCCAAAATTCCAAAATTCCAAAATTCCAAAATTCCAAAATTCCAAAATTCCAAAATTCCAATATCCCAAAATCCCAAAATCCCAAATTCCTAAATTCTTAGATCCCTAATTCCCTGACTCCCTAAATCCCTAAAATTCCAAATTCGCAATTTCCTAATTTTGTAAACTCTCTAAATTCCTAATCTCCAAATCCCCAAACCCCAAATTCCAAAATTCACACACTTGATCCCTAAACCACCCCATCTCAATCTCAACACCACATTTGACCCGCGTCAAAAAGAAAACGTCGTAGTGGAAGTGTCAGGTTATTTTAAAATGACAGTCTCCTCTATTATTTTTTGAGCGGCGGGAAGCGTCTCGGTCGTTGAAAGAAGGATACCTTCACCATCCCCTCCTCG